ATATATATATATATATATATATATATATATATATATATATATAGGGTCATGTGAATCTGCGGTGACTCCGTAGGCTGTCATCTGAGGATGCGCGATCTGGGCCGTTTATTCAAAACCCCTCAGAGAGATCTGAGCCCTTCGTTGAAAATCCCATCCCCCCAAAATCCCTACCCCTCTCTCATCTCTCCCGCCCAGATCGCGCCATCACCTCCCGCCTCCTCCTCTCCAGCGCCCGAAATCGCCGCCGGAGCTCGCCGCCCCCGATCAGCGTCGCCGCCGGCTCAAGATCGTGAATTCGGTCGCCATCACCGACCCCCTCCTCCTCACCACCGCCCGAAAGCGCCGCCGCCCAAGCTCGGCCAAGCCCTCGACGTCCCCATTCAGCGTCGCCGCCGTCCCCTTGCCCTAGCCATCACCTCCCCTCCTCCTCTCCAGCTCCCGAGATCGCCGCCGCTGAGCGTCGTCGCCGGGTCATCGCCGTCTACTCCTCCTCGCCATCGAGCTCAACCCTCATCATCAGCTATGCCTCCGACGGCATTCGAGCTCAGCCCTCAGGTTCATCGCCGCCTCCGGAGCTCGACCAATCCCTCGACGTCAGCCCTCATGGCTTCGAACAAATTGAAAGTGTCGACGTCTTCGAATTCTACAAAATCAAAGCCTACCTCTTCTAAATGCAATAATCCTCCAACTTCGTAAGTAATTTGCCATGATATATTTAATTTTTAACTCTTTCTGAATTATAATTTTGTTGTAAGCCATGATGTATAATGTTTGTGTTAATAAACTTATTAATATGCGTCTTAATTTGCCCAAATATATTTAATTTTTAACTCTTTCTGAATTATAATTTTCTTGTAGGGCTAAGATAACACACTTGAGAATTCCGGCCAATTTGTGTTATTTTCGAGATTTAATTGATAAGCGAATAAAATTAGATGAAAGACACATAAAAGCCCTACAGACGACACCTTTTCACAACTTTCTCAATATACCCACATCCTTGAGCAATGAGCAAATAGCAATTGATTGCTTGATTCAAAATTTTAATCCTGATAAATGCTCATTCATGATTGGGAATAAAAATTGTGTGTTCGGTATAGATGATATTCACCGAATTACCGGATTGCCAAAGGAGGGAATTCCGATAAAAATGAGTGGGGCAGCGGCTAATACAATCTACACCTATTTTGTAAAGAATTATAAGAAAGCCGATGAGGAAAAGAAGGCGGTGATTTCGGGGAAGCGCGATAGAATGGCCGAGATGATTGTAGATATGATTAATGAAGACCCTATAATATGTGTGAAACTTATTGTGGCTTTCATTATCGGCTTCATATTATGCCCGCGGACATGTAAGACATGTCCCTTGTGGGCGTTTAGATATGCGGAGCAGTTATCAACTTTGCATAAATATAATTGGTGCCATGCGGTGTTCACTCTTCTTTGCAAAGAGATGAGTAAATCAAAGAAGTCTCTTAGTATGCGGGAATTAGGTCAGCGCTCAAATGCCGGGTACATGGGTGGTTTTTCCTCCGTTTTACTGGTGAGTTACATGAATATTAATTTGTATATCTTTTCATTTTGATAATGATTATTGTTTATGCACATGCTAATGTGTAGTTTCTTTTTTGTAGGTTTGGTTTTATGAAAAAGTAGGGGAATTAGAGTACACTTCAGATATTGAAAGGTTACCGCCGCTCTTTTGTGTGAAGAGTACTGGAAAGTGGAGGAGGACTACTATGAACAAATTATATAGAGTCCCGAAGTTGGTTACGGATAATGGCCAAGAGAATACTCCTCTTATTCATACGGCATCGCCAATAGTATTTGTACATATCGTTGCTCTAATAGTTCATTATTTTATGTCCCTTTTGTTAGTATCTATGTTTGCAACTATAGTATACGTACTAATACTAGCTTTTTTTGGTCAAATAGGAATCAAGGAAAGCTGAATTAATTTTCTTAATTGCGGAGAAGACGTACGAGTTGAATGAGCTCACTACAGAATTACGAGAATTAGAAGAGCGTAGTGCTAGATGCCAAAAAAAAACCAAGGAGAAAGAGGATGACGGAAATGTAACTGAAGAAAAAAAAAATCAAAGAGGATATGGAAGGTAAGGAATATGAGAATTTGGAAGGAACTGGGGAAGCCGATTTATGTGATGACTTTATGATGAGCGCAAGAGACATGAGAATTTTAGAAGATGCTCGGTGAGTTTTGTTTTTTAAATTTTCTTACAATTTTAATTTTTATATTTTCCATATAATTCTTGTGTAACTCTTTGTTAA